AAAATACACGGGGAGGAAAAACATAAAGATCTGTGCTAACGCATGCGACAACAGGTTCAGCTACAGACACCGCAGGAGGCTGCAGGAAGCCCACACTAACTAGGACCACTTTGGTTACATGCAGACCTGAGCAAAAAGAATCAGGATTTTGGAAACTGCTCATTTGTGTTAGATGCCAATGGATTATTGGACCAAACAGGACCATCAAACAGACCAGTTTTTCTTGGGTTTACTTGCTCCTCCCTATTGTATTTATGTCAGAGTCCACTTTGGTTCTGGGAGCCAGATGAGGTAGTGGACGCAGCTCCATGCCAGACAAGATTGTGCATTCTGTGCCACGTTTTCACCCACACCAGGCTCGTCTGGGAATAAAAAGCCTGAAGGTGACTCCCAGGGTCGGAGCAGGGCTCACCGAGGGCTGGAGGCTAGGTGGGCGGCACAGTCCCAAGGGGCAGCCCTAGACGTTCACTTGCCTCTTCAGATAGCACTTCCTAATTTCACCCCAGGTGACGATTTTATTACCAATGGGCTACTTTTATCAGTCACACTGCAAACGATTTTTAAAAAGCAGTCCTCAAAAGATCAAAAGATCAGGTATTTGTGAACAAATGGTCCTGGGTGATTTCAATGCAATTTGTATACTGTTCACCATTTCTGAAATATAATTTACATTACAACCAAAAATTAGCACAGTAGCTATTATCTTAAGGCAATTTAATACTCCTTTTCAAATAAAATATTTTACCTGTAAATCTAACCACCATCAACATTTTTCCCATGAAACCACCTTAAGTTTACTTTTCCTAAGGTCAACTATGAATAACAAGCTTTCAGTAGATGGCCAAATATCATACATCCATAGAAGGGATATTTGAAGCTATTCACAGTTGATGAAAAATACAAAGACCTAGGTAACTGCGCACAGAGAAAAGGCAAGATATAAAATACTAAAGGATTACTCAATAGGCTACGAATAGAAAGCACCAGCAGCAAACAATAGAAGTGACAGGCCTGTCTAGCTGGCAGATTACTAAAGATTTGTAGTTCATATATTTTTCTCTATTTCTAAATTTGCAGTTTCTGTTACCAGAAATAACTTACAATGGAAGTCACAGCACAGTGCCCTGGAAACATGCCAGCTCCCAGCACCTCACTGCTCTCTGCTGTTTCTTCAGTGTGGGTGCTCTGAGGCAGAGAGGAAGCATGAAATAAAGCCTTCACTTCCATTTCAGTTTTTTAGTTTTCTCTTCACTTCCACAGAGGATACAAGAGATGTTTGGGGGCGGGCGGGGAGATAGCTCAGTGGAATAAGCGCTTCCCTGGCAAGCGCAAGAGCCTAAGTTCAATCCCCAGTTCTGCAAAAATAAAAAAAAATTTTTTTTAAATGTTTGGAAGGGAAAGGTGTAGAATACTGATTTTTATCTGCATGTTTAATACCCTTTAGAACATCTGTGGTCCCCTGGAATATATTAGGTTATCAAAAGCTAATATGAACCTACAAGTTCACACTGTATAGCTCTCTGGTGTCAGAATGACTCATTATAAATCACCCAGGAAGACCCTGGCTTTGTCATATGCTTGCATGGCAGAGGCTGAGCAGACTGTCCTTAGTCTCCTGTACTCTAACCTCAACAGTAAACCATACTGGATCTGTCCTAGGTGAAAGCACAGCCTCTGGTTCCAACTGTGCTGCAAAGCCACTTTCAGGCCATCAAGTCTGAAAAGCCTCCTATTCTGACTGCCACTTCTGCTGAAGACAACTGGCAAAGCCTTGTCACTGAAACTGAGAAGCACCTCAGCTCAGAAAATGACAACCAGCCTAAAAAGAGGAAAGCGGAAGAGATGCTGGGGAAAACACAGCTTAACTGACGCTGACCTCATTTTTGCTAGAATGAAGCGGCCACTGCGTCCCATTCTTCAGGTCTCCTGCGTGCTAAGGTAGCACGGGTCTGCAAAGGTCAGGTAAGACAGCCACCTTGAGTTTGGGGTTTGCTGTTTGTTAGTATCCAGCTCCTCTTAAAATCCTGTTATTGCGTACACTTCCTTCAAAGCATCAGTTCTCTCAATATCCTTTACAGATAGGCAGTGGCCCTTTGTACCCTCTGAGGCTTGTGATTTTAACTCAAATTTGAGACAATGAACGACACCACCAGTTTTAGTTTTAACATTTTACTATGATTTAATTTTCTTCCCCCAGAAAACCCCAGTATCATATGCATAAAAATTCAGGTATCAGAAAGACTCAAAAGGCTGTTTTTCACTTTGTTCAAGTTTTGTTTCCAGGCATTAAGTGTGTCATACAGTTGCTGCCACTGCTGTTTTCCAAATGTCCGGTGTGTGCTATGACTAAAAATTGAAAAATTAAAAACAGTATTAGTCAGTGTTTTATCTTGTGGTATTCTTTCTATAGTACTACACACTTGAGCCCAGTTAAGCGCTAAGTTATATATTTAAAAAAAAAATATTAAGAATTAATGCTAGTTTTAAAAAAAAAATCTTTACCGTATCGATCAAAACCTTCTAGTCTCCTAACCAACTCTATGAAGTGAACACAAGTCATTAGTATTCTAGCCAGAGCATGGCCATTAAATGAAATGTGCTGGAAAATAGGACTCTTTCATTAAATAAGCTAATCACATTCAGTCTGAACTTTAATAAAATTATGATAAATGGCAACTATTTAACTACAGTCAACTTGAAAGAACACCAACCTTGTCTCTCAACATGCAAGTGAAATAATCACATCGAACCAAACTGTCCTACAAAATGCTGCAAGGTATTAAATGTCTTACCTGACAACTACTTTTCTCTGGGTCTGATCAATTTTGCAGTAGACCATTTTAGTTCTTACCGCTGGAAAAAAAGATTTTTCACACGATATATTATATAGGAAACTTACAAGAAACAGCTGAGGTGTGAACATGTGGCCACAATGAACTTTAGTCCCTTTCCAACAGTTTACCAAGCAGCTCTCTGCACCCTGTCTGGGGAGGGGACTGAGGCAGCATGGCCGAGGGGCCCGCGCCTGTCCTGTGGCTGCCAGGCCAGCCCACGTGTAGTCAGCCCTGTGCATGCACCTTCTCCCCTGCATGTACGGGGGACTCAGCCCTTACATGACTACCGGAGACTGATTAGATTTTCAAGCTTGAAAGTTTGGGAAAATGTCCTGATTAACAGCTGTGTCACTTTATCTGCAATTTCTGGGGAAGAAATTTCTGTTCCTGAGTTAATCTGCAGCAGCAGCTAGGTGCCAGGCACAGTGCATAATCTGCCTTAATTCACTCCTCACAGTCACACATGAACTGCACTCCGGTTACTTACGGAGGCCTTATCCACTACACCACTCTGCCTATTCTACATGATTTCAGCAGAGGATACCCAAACCCACGCACCTCCCACTCCACTCAGTCTTCACATAACAAATCTGTCTGCTAATCTACTAAATACAATCACATGCCACATTAGCATAAGGTTCAAGATACAGACTTCTCCTTGCAGAAATCCTAGAACTCAACATACACATTCCAGTTACCTTACCGTCAATCACAAAGGCTTCCACATCGTCAGCCCCAATCTGAAGTTCCTGCTGCATGGTATCGAAGGAAATCTCTTTGTTCTCCACTGCCATCCCCATGAAAGTGAGCAGTCGCATCTTTGCCATGTTCTGCTCGTGTAAAAGGCCTGGAGAACAGAATGGAGTCTGGTGAGGACCCAAACTGACTCAAGGGCCACCCGATCACCATCGGGTAAGCTGTGACGATCACTGGGTCTGTGCACTTAACACAGGTCATTTTCAGAAAAACTGTATTTGTTAACCATAAACTCATGCTTAATCTTTGTGGACCCACATTTGTTTTATAATTACTAGCGCACACTAGGCTTCGCAGCGACACTCTTGACGCGAGGAGAGCACATCTATCCTCTACCCACCTCACAGGCCTGTATGCCACGAAGTCTAAAGAACGAGCTACAAAAAGACATTTTTAGAGTCTAAAATTGTGTACATCTTATATTTTTGTTTTTATACATTGCAGATATGAAACCTACACGGTACATTTCCAAGTTAAACCAGCCAAGCTGATCTCCACCAACAGCTCTTCACTTCACACACAGCACTCCCTGCCTGTTCAGCATGCGCTGCACTGCTATCACAACTAAATATGACATAATATTTTTTCATCAATATTTTAAGTTATGAAAAATTTTCCATTTCTCTTCAGGTCACTTTGGACTCAGTCGTTACAAATCAATACTGCCAAAAAATGTTTATCATTCAACATTTACATGGCAGCACACTTAGTACTACATTAAGAAGTACAACTAATAGTGATACTTGTTCTAAAATGCAAAAGTAGAAGATTAGACAAATAACTCCAATTCTGCATTTTAATTTCTCATGAAACATATAAACAGATTAGAAAAAACTGTAAGACCTAGAAGGAAACTTAAGTTGCCCAAGTCCCATCCCTGTTACTTTAAAAACCCAACCTAGAAAACATTGATCAGAGGCTGATCATACGACCAGGTACAAATTCACATGACCTGGTCCTAAGGAGAAGTAGCGCTGTAACAGAGTATCACGTATGGTAGTTTTAACGGCAATATACTTTTATAAAGATGCCTCTAAAACTTATAATTACTTACAAGTTAACTCTGGGCTTTCCTATTATATAAATTCAGCAAATGATCAATTATGTGCATTTTAGTAATTCAAAGCCTCAACTTTGTACTGTTAAGTTACCTAAGCACCCCATGAATACATTGGAAATTCATAACATTCAAACACAGTGAAGACTAGTGCAGCCCACTAACAGATGGCATGGTCATCTGTTAATGAGCTGTAATTACAATACCAGCTTCCTATTTGGCACAGATTCAACAAAACATGAGCATCGTAACTCAAATGAATGAGGTAACCAAGGAAGTACTGCTAACTGGGTTTAATGGAAATCTACAAGCAACAAAAAATCAATTAGTGCACATTAACCCTAATTAACAAATGCAAATCAGATGCTGATTGACTTTCTGAAACAAGACGCTAGCAAGTGGCTAACACTGTACCACACGTGGCCATGTCAGGGCAATTCAGCCGACAGAGGGTAATGACACCTTTGGCCTAAGTCATCAGTATTAATCAAAAATGTTTCAACGAATGGGGACCACCTGTGGAACTCATACCATTTGTAACCTGACTTCTGGCGTAAATGACAAATACAGTGATAATTCAAAAAATACACATTCAACAAAAGTATCTTTCCCAAAGAGTCTTACAGCAACAAACTAACAGAAAACGTTTAACTTGTGTACATGTTCACAAAACAAAAGCAAATTAGAAAATGATTTTTTTGTATTTTTTTAGTAAGGAGTCTACAGGGTCTACAGGATCTCACTAGTGAGATCGGACTCAGTGATCCGCCTGTGTTCTGCCTCCCAAGCGCTGGGATTACAGGTGCATGCCACCACACCAGTCTCAATCGAAGTCTCAACATGCCCCAGGGGCAGGACCCAGCACGGCACACCAGGGATGGAACCCCAGCCACTGTGCTCTGCCTAAGCTGGCACTTTAATCCGCGCCCTAGGAAATGATTTCTAACTGGCAAAATAAATTAACAATGTTACAAATTCTTCCTATCAGAGCAAGTTAAACAATACTAAAAAATTACTTAATATTCCCAGTACTATAGGCATCTATGGTTCTTGTAATATGATAAAATGATAAAATTTCTGCCAATACTAAAACTTTTTAAAGATTAAAAACTCTTTAAACCTACTTTATTGCTACTTTTCAAAGTTACGCTCTTAATATAAATGAAAAAAAGTAAGAGAAGGCTGGCAAGAGAGCTCATACCGGGATTCGATCCCCATCCCCCCAGGCGGCACCAGCCCTGCCCCCAGGCACACTGAGCTGGCTACAAACTGGGCATGGTGGCACGCACCTGTAATCCCAGCAGTGGGGAGGCTGAAAACAGGAGGATCACTACTACAATCCGAGCTATGTAGTGAGACCCTGCATCAAATGCACTTAAAAAAAAAAAAAAGTTACAATGAAAATTATTCCTCGGAGGAATTACCTAAGTCTACAATGTATGTGATGTGATACTTGTGTCTGAAGAGTTTAAACTGACATCTAAAGTCATTCCTTTAAAACAAAGACATGCTCTTCCAGCCTTCCACTCTTGAGAAAAACCCAATGAGGTTAAGCTGAGACATGGGGCTTTGTTTCATTCAACTACCTTCAAGGGGCCACGGGGTTCTGCTCGTATTTCAATTCTAAAGTTATAAAAAATCTAATTTTATGGAAACATTTATTCATTACTAATATGTCAAAACCTTAATGCAGTAATAAAAAAATGTGCATCATTGAGCAATTTCTGCATTGTCACTGACCCCTGTCTTAAAATGCTGCGATATAGAAAACGCAATTTTAATGCATGCAATAGCTTATGAACCAGTGCTCCTTTGAAACAGTCAATTACACATCAATGGGGGAGTGTCCAAGTGTTAATTACTACTCCTCTTGCCTTGGTGCGTAAATAAAGAGGGTGCTGACATTAACATTCCATCACAGGGCTTCATGCCACAAAGCAAATTAACTGGGCAGAATGTGGCTGTCTGGGTTAGTGCACCTGGCAAAGCACTCCACACACTCTCATCTACTTAATCTTGGCGTATTTCAAATGCCTGTGTCCAAGTCAAGCCAATCTTCCCCAATTTCAATGGCTGCACAAAATTCAGGGGTGACAAGAATTAATGATCACTGAAAACTAAGTATAATCAAGTAGATTATAATTGTATATCAACATCTCAAACAACCTAGGAGACTAATAATTCAATTTTAATATGAAACGTATCACCTTCTCATGTACTTTGATTATGGCCTAAACAAAGTCCCATACTTTCACAGCTGATTTGCTGTAGAAAAAAAAAGGCCTTTTAGAACATTCAAAACGTGTTCAACTAGAGATATTGTGAGATTTTTCAGATTCTGAGATTTTTGTAGTTTTAGTGTGTTAAAAACATGCTCTAGAAGAAAATGAAAATATGACATGTATACAGCAGGGATGGTAAACCTATGGCATGCGTGCCTAAGTGGGCTCTTTGTATCACTGAACGCTCCAGAAGGCTCAGTAAGGTTCAATTCAATTTGGCAAGTGGTTTTGAACTCGGATGCATGAAGGCTGACTGAACAACAAAGTTGAGGCCTGAAAATCAGATTGCTTATGCTGTCTAACTACATCTGGGAAAAAGTTTCAACTATCACGCAAAATTGTTATACATCTATTTGTAATTAGCAGTGCTGTTTCTTTTGTAATTCTTCAATTTCTGGTGCTAAGAAAGATCCAAGCACAAGACACACTAATTACAGGAGGGAAAAATGTTTTCTTCTACCATTCTATAGCTACACAGCAGGGTGAGGGTTGGCTAAAAATGCAACTACCACACATCTAAGGAATTAAGGTCTTACCTACAGACAATTTTAAACAATAACCTTTAGCTTCATGACGTGCCTTTAATTCATCTCTTAAAACAAGTGCTCCAAAGCACCACCTTGATCAAAGCAACATCCACCTTTTACTTCTCATCCCAACTTGAGAAGCAGATGCATCCAAGAAACTATTCCTGCCTGAATCTCCTCCAGGTACCTTAACAGCATTCACAGAGCACAAGGGCCCCAAGTCCAACAAGCTCTTGTGGACAGAAAAGGCCCAGGTTCCTGGAAAGCTAGTTTCATCATCCTTTTATTATAAATGCCATCTTGTGCCCTGCTTGGATTGTCACTCCAGGGCAGCACTGGGGATGAACATGCCTGGTGCATGGTAGGCCAGCACTCTACCACTGAGCGACAGCCCCACACCTATCCTTTAAGTAACAGTTCTGAGACAGGGTCTTTTTATGTGCCCAGACTGGCCTCGAACTTGTGTTCCTGCCATGATCCCTGCTGGCCTCCTAAGCTAGGAGTAAAGGTGTGTAACTCCACCACAGCTTGCCTAAGTAATCTTTTAAACTGTTCATTTAACATCTGTTCCTGGTGCTCTGTTGCAGGCCGCTCGAAGGAATAGAGAGGCTACAATCATACTGCAGAACTTAAGAGCGCACAACTGTTAATAGCAGCATGTTCCCATTTAACTAGCTCCCAGAGGAAAAACCCCAAAACTTACCAAGTGAATCAATGAAGTCTTTGTTATTCTGATAAAACTTGACATATGATGCCAACTTAGCGCTCACAAAAATGGTTAAAAGCTACAGACAAGACAAAAAAATCCTGTCAATACAAAATGCTTTATATTCAAAATATTTAAGACACTGACATTAACTGCAGTTTCATCAGATCACTGCTCAATCCTGCTTTCACAGTTTATTTTTCAAATGAAATAAACCGTGAACATAGCAAGCTCTAAATTATCTGCACTAAAAGATGGTGGTGAATGACACACACAAAATGGAAGATAATCCAAATACTGGATTTGTCTTCCTAATGGGCTCAGTGACGTTACGTAATAAAAGAAATGTGTATTACTGAAGTCTGTAAAGTCAGGAAAAAGGAAGAACAGGCTACTCTTTGGCTGGGGTCAGTTGTGGCCCAAAGTGCTGGGCCCAGTATGGACACTCACTGGTTAACCCACTGGCAAAGGGTAATGCTGCTTCAGCAGGCCAGATTCAGGGACAGGACACCTTTCACACTGAAGGACAGCTACTTACATCATGAATAAGCTCGCCTTCCAGAAACTTGACTGGTTTTAAAGTAAGAAGATGGTCAAAAAGAAAGGCATTTGGATCTTTCAATGCTCGTACAATGCACCT